TGTGTGTGTGTGTGTGTGTGTGTGTGTGTGTGTGTGTGTGTTTGTGTGTGTGTGTGTGTGTATTTCGCCTGTGTACGTGTCAGCTCCGACCCACGTTCTTGTGCGGCAGTCCATTCCCCACCGTTACACTCCACAGCCGATTGTCCCATCCATCGCTTATTAACTGACAGCACACGTGCAACAAGTTGTAGCTTACCCATTCATCGACTGAGCTCTTGTGGGAGGTATCCCCCCACCGCTATAAACATCAATAATGTAAGAAACATGGAATTCGCACCATCTGTGGTCCTACCGGGCCCACAGTGTGGATTTTTGCAGGAATCTCTGGCAAATCTGAAATCTGGGCCGCCTAGCAAATCTGAAATCTGGTGTGTCGGTATCATACTGGCTTAACGGCCCTATCATCTTACTGTCTTCTTGTTTCTGGATGGCAGTGCGAAAAACTGTGGTCATACCATTCTCGGCCTTTTGGATAAGATCAACTGCACCGTATCTGTTCTGATCAGTTTAATGTCTAATCCGTGGTCCATTGGGCCACATAAAAAAAAAGAAAAACTGTACGACAGTGTAGGTTGAGATTATTTGGAGGTGTTTTTTTCCTTGTTCTTTTTCCTTTCATCGGAGTAGAAGCTAGGGGCGGTGATGGGTTAGGAGGAGGGGGAAAGTTAGAGCCTACTATGTGCTATTCCATACTCATTCCTTAGGCTAAGGCACACGCCTCCGGATTCCGACTGGGTCTAAAACTGCCGAGAACTCTAAATCGAGAGTCAAGACTTTCTTTCTTCTTTTTCAATTTCCCTCTGTTTTGGGGATTTGGACTTGGGTCTGTATTTCAATAGTTCATAGGGGTACCAACTGACCTAAGCCCATCGGTAAGACTCTTTCCTTACCCAACTGGCAATAACCAAATTGGCAAATTTCCTTCCAGTGACGCAGTCGCCAGAATATATTCCTTATTGTCCGGACCTTTCTGAACCAATAAATCCCCTTTTCAAACTTGTCCTTTGACTTTCTCCAATCTGTAATTACTAATTGGTATTAGTACCGTATTACTAATTATTAATTATTGTAAGCCGCAACACTGCTCTCACGTTATGCGCCTGTTCATGCACAGACCAGGTCTCGTTTCTGAAAACTTCAGCATTTCTTTCCGTCCAGTGGCTTCCACAAAATTTCCATCACTATTCCTCTGCCTTCCACCCTTGTTGGGTTTGTCCGTAGAAAATCCAATTGTCGGACCAGTCCCAAGAGGTTCCTGTCCAATTTGACTAATGGTGCTTTCACCATAGCCACCATAGCCACAACTCATCAGCCAAGAGACAGTATAACCACAGATGTAGTGTCAGACTCCCACCCCCGGCAGCATCGTGTGCAAGTCAAACGTAAGGTCCATTCCGCGAGAGAAGAGCCACTGAGCAGATAGAGTAACAAACAGAGATCGCAACCACAGTAGCCCCCCTTCTATTCTAGGGGGCACCAGCCCGGTTGCTTATCACCGGCAAGCATAGTACAATCACCGGTTGGAAATGCGCATTGTGGTATGAGGTTGCGGGTTCAAATCCGTAGCCTTGCGCATGGACACCGGCAGGGCGTTAGAATGACGCACGGCTGGACACACMCCCCCTTGGGATGACGCAGGTTAGCTATTACAGACACTGCCTGCGCACCACCCCAGGGTTGTTCATGCCACTTCATGGTGTTGTATGTTTTTCACATGGGTTGCTTGGGGGTGTTGGTCGCGGGTGTTCTGTTGATCTCCCCAGTCTGGCATATCACACGTTCATGCCATTTCCAGTAGTCGTTCACATGGTAGAGTCATTCGATTACACGTTACAAGGTCACGGATTCGAGCTTGGTTCGGACCTTGGGGGGGTACTTGTCCAGCTTACCCCGTTCTCTCTTCGATATACACACATGATACTGCGTATACATCTCGATACATTGATTCACAGAGCACAGATAGCCTTCGGGCATATACATAGCTTGCGAATTATACATGGCCTATGGGCTACATACACAAGTTTTGACACACGGTGCTGTCTGTACATCTTGATACATAGATACACGGAGCATACATAGCCTTCGGGTACACACATACATTGCGAACTACACAACTATCAGACTGGGGGGGTCTAGTCACTGGGTGGGGTCTAGTATCTGCAGTAGGGACAGGTATGGGCAGGTATGGGCCACCGGAGTTCCTACTGATATTCGAATAGAACTGTCTAGTGACTATATATAAGGCTTAGACCCTGGGGTAAGGGTAGGGGTATAAGTTGCTCAGGCCAGTCCGAGTTTCGCCTGGCCTTGGGTAAGCTAGGGGAAGGACGGTAAGGCTGCTTCATTGGGTGCTACCCTGTCTGAAACCTAGGGCCCAGAGTCTCTTGGGGCCTGTAGTAGATTGTCTGGGCCTGGCGTCCGAAGTTCTCGTTCGACAAGGCTCGTCCGATTCCGCTTCCACCAGGGCTGGGCAACCTATCAGCCCTGGTGCCTATCACTGCTGTTCAGTCCAAGTCACCTGCCCATTGGTAGGGTAATGGTCCTGAGTGCTGGTCACACTGAGGTAGGATAGTGGGATCGGGGGTGCGCTAGGAGTATTGACGTGAGGATGGGATGGGAGGTGGTCTCATATTCCAGGACACCCATGGCCTACTGCTCCAGGTGATCACTGTGTACTCAGTGACTGGCCTCTACAACACGATGGACTTGACGACAAGCGTAATCCCAAGTCGGGTGCAATTACTGACTGCGTGACCCCACCCCAGTGGCAAGCGGCCGCGAGACTCCCAATCATACCCAGTCACCGCTTCCCCTGCAGCGGCCTTCTGCGCAAGCGCCTGTCAAGACGGAAGCCTTCTCAGGATCCTCCACTGCTGTTGGAAGTCTGGAGGTCTGGTCGCCGGGCACTGTAGCTTCTGGAATCTGTATTCTGCCATGGCTTGAGGTGATCTTTTGATTTTCCGTCGCGAAACATCCACTCCCACCTTGGTGGTATAAGATTATCAGTGGGGTGGGACGACCTTTCCCATTCCCGGACGGCCACCCAATGAGGATGGGGTCAAATCTTAAAGCATGTCGCCTCCTGCATAAGCAGGGACTTTTCCTTCCCTGCTCTAGGACCCTAGCCTCTGAAAGGCCTTTCGAAGAAGGACTTGTCATTCATTTCTGCTTCAAAGGTAATCTTGGCCAGTCTCTTCTCCTGACGACCCACTATCTACTTCTCGACTCTAATTCCGCCCCTCAAATTTGGGCCTAACGTCTTTACTGCTCGTTAGTAATGAGTATTATGAGGGGTTTACCGATCCCCAAGAATGAGAAGTTGAACAGTCAATCCTCCATTTTGGAGCAATCAATGTATCTGGCAGGGGAAGTGTGTGTAATACTGTGCTATTGTTTTTCTTTATTAATATTTTTTGGAAACTTGGAAAGTTACTGCTGTTACGATCCTGGCCAATTCCGAAGTGCAAATTCACAAGGAAGTACAATGCCGTCCAATTGCGAAAAGAAATGAATGAACTCGAGAGGTGAGAGGGACCAAAGAAGAAGAAGAAGAAGAAGAAGAAGAAGAAGAAGAAGAAGAAGAAGAAAGAAAGTAGAAGAAGAAGAAGATGTACACCAGCAAAAGACCAATGACAATTCCCCCTGCTCTCACCAACCATCTCCTCCTCCTTTTCTCCCCCTCTCTTATTCAAACGATAAATAATAATAATAACGATGAATGGCTGAACCAGAATTAACGTCCGTGTCCCTTTTCTACTGCTAGCACAACCAGAGGTTCACCATAGCCATCGCCTCCCTCTTCTTTCTCTTCGAACAGGCCGAGGCTATGGTGGACTACTAGGGCCCTAGCCCTGACGTGCAAAAGACAACGCAAAGCAGCTATGCCCGTTGCTCTTCAGGCCGCCATGCCTGACTCTGCCTTGAAGCCTTCTTGGTGCGGGGCTACCCAACTGGGGCCTTCCAGATGCAGCGCCTAACAAGGCGATGAAGATGGCATCCACCATAGCCAGGTAAGTACCCCGCCACTCTCCTCCTTCACCCCCTTCTTCCTCCTCATCCTACCGGCGATGCTCCACCATAGCCAAGGTGAGTGCTCCTGGTCTTCTGTCCACCAGTGGGTCCTGGTGCCTCGATCCAGGCGATGCTCCACCATCCTTTCTAGGACCAGCCGATCACTCCCCCTGTTGTGGCAGGGGAGTCAATGTAGACCCAGCCCTCTTGGCCGGGGTCCACCGTCCACCAGTGGGTGGGTTTAAAGGGGTCCCTCAGCAGCCTCCCCGTGGGCCGGGCTTTTTTAGACGGGTGGAGAGGGAAGCTGGGTTCTGTGCTTAAGTGTGCGTAGGACTGACAATGAAAACACCATGGCCTTAGCTTATGGACCGTGTGGATTTTAAACTCCCTTCCTCCAATTTGGTATGTGATGACGTCATCAATCGTAAACACCTGCCCATTTTCTGGGGAGTCGATGTAGACCCAGCCCTCGTGGCCTGGGTCCACCATCTGCCAGTGGGTGGGTTTAAAGGGGTCCCTCAGCAGCCTTCCCATGGGCCGGGCTCTTTTAGATGGGTGGAGAGGGCAGTCGGGTTCTGTGCTCAAGTGTCCGTAGGAGTGGCACTTAAAACACAATGGCCTTAGCTAATGGGATGTGTGGACTTTAAAGTTTAAACTCCATTCCTCCAATTTGACGTCATCAGTCCTAAACAACTGCCCTGTTGGTAGATTGATCAGCACCATAAGGAAGTCGTCCCTTCTCGGTGCATTCGGAGGGAGGGGCTCGATGAAGTCAACTAGGTTGTATTTTTCGCCGAGATCCTGAATGAAAGCAGGCTGAATCTCGATCGGGTCATGACAAAACTCTGCCCAAAAAATTATTCATTAATTGTTCCCTCCTTTCCTCTGGGCGTTGTTGTCTATGGGGGGGCCATGGATAGATTCACACCTTCGAGCGATCGCATGTGATGGTGCGCCAGTTGTCCATGGTTCTTTTGTCTGCATCGAGATCGGCGGGATCAGGAAGAAGTCATGTGCCCCCTTGTTGCTGCCTTTGAGAGACGCCAGGGGCCTCCTGATCCACCCGATTTGTCATTCATCGGTTTATGTGCAGCGCCGTCATTATAAAACCCTGTTCCTGGCGTGGCGGTAATAGAGCTCATCTATGTTGTGTATTTTGTCAATCGGCAGGGTCTTAATAATTGTCTGTTTGCCCCCTTGGTTGATCACGCGGTCATCCGACGGGGTAAGGAGGCGTGAGAGGAAGAATGCCCCGACCGTGGATATGTTGGTCAGGGGGATATTTAATTCTTCACCTTCCGCTTTCCCCTTACCTCGCCGGATTGTCAGACTCTTCTCTGAGTATGGTTTCGTCAGTGTGGCTGCCTAGGAGGAGGTGGAGGCGCCTGCGGGTGGGGGCGCCTCCTTGTGATTCTGTGTGATTTCTCTAGAAACCTTTCCTTTTACGTACCAGTTTTCTCTGTAATCCGTTCCCTCTTTCTCTGGTTGTGGGGGGACCCTTTTCCATTTGAGTCATTCGTTGGCGTGCTGCCGCATATCCCCCTGATACATGATTGTTGACTCTACCCTTCTCTGCGCTCCTTGCTGTTTGTGTGGCTTATGATTGATTGTCATTTGGGCCGTATGTGGGGGGTTGTTCTGCAGCAAAGGGATAGTGGGGGCGAGGTCGGGCTACAGAGCATGCTGGTCCCTCCTCTCTAAAACCGGCTAAAGCGGTGAGGTGACAACATAACCGCGTCCATCTCGGCGGTTCGCAGGATTACTTATGCGTTTGTCCCCAAGGTGTTTCTTGTTTTCTTTTACTCCTGCGTGACGTGGCCAGGAGGGCTTCCGCCTTTTGTGAAAAAGACGGGAGCCGATGCGCTCAACAGCATTTGAACGGCTCACACTTAGAGCTAGTCTGATTCATCGCCAAGAAGACTGGGGAAGTGCTGCAGGGGGTGAGGGAGGAGGGCGGGCAGTGAAGGTAAGGAACGGATGGGAGGGAGATACGAGGTTCATTTGAAGAGGTGAACCGGGGGCCGGGGAGACCAAGTGCGGGAGAGGGAGAAGGAAGGACCGCAGGAGAAGCAGAAATAGAGGAGGGGGAGGAGGAAGGAGGAGGGCTTACACACACCACGTGCTAAAACCCATTGCTAAGTTCAGAAAGAGACAAGCGGGGCCGATGCTTGTTTAAAAGGGGAAAAAATTTGATGAACGGCAATGGGATGGCATGGATCATCTAGAAGATGATGAAGGACAAACTAACTACTCCCTTGGTAAGGTAATCCACATGGCAGCGTGCTACCAACCACAGCCAACCATGTACGGTAGGGCACACCTTTTTTTTAGGGGTTATAGATACAAAATTGTGAAACGTGAGGTGGAGACGAGGTGAAGGTTGCATGGAGATGACATGGATATGAAATGGAGATGTCGTGAAGAGATGGTTTGGATATGAGGTGAACAGATGACTTGGAGATGACGTATAGAGATGGCTTGGAGAGGGGGAGTTTGAGGCCTGTGGAGTTATGCCGAGGGTGGAAGGCATAACCAGACCGTTCGACGTAGTCGGCGCCGGGGTATTAACCCTGTAACCTGTGTCAGGGGCTTGCCGCTAAGGGAAATGTCGAGGGAGGAAGGCACTTCCTGTCCGTCAGAACTAGGTTGGTCAGTACTGGGGAAGGTTGTGGTGCCCTGTTACCCTAGCAGAAGGGGGTATGAGATCAAGTGAGTTCTGGTACGAGGACTGAAAACCTGGACCGACGTTCCATCTGTTGAGAGGGGGAGTTTTGGATAGTAGGCGTTTCAGTTTTGACCCCCCCGTTCTCATGTTTTCCAAGCTTTTTCAGATTTGTTCTGAATTTTAGCCTATCTCATGAGGAAAGTTTTGAGAATGCTTTAGGATTCTGGGCACTTCTTGCAACTCATTTTAGGTTTTTCTAATGCTGTTATATCATTATATTCATGGATCTGCGGTTTTTCGATGCCAGAACGACGCTGGCCGGAGCTGGGGGGTTACCATGTAACCTGTTGATAGCAGGAGCGAGAGGCCTGGTAGAGAGATCTGGGGATGCCTTGGGCCGGGCATTCTAAGGGAAAACCAAGGTTTGCTGTCGGTACGACGCTGGCCGGAGCTGGGGTGAGTTGTGTTGCCCTGTAACCTAGCAGGATGGGGCATGAGGCCTGGGAAAGTTCGGCAGGGAATAAGACAGTGTTAGAAAATTTTAGAATGGTTTGTTGGGGATTCCAGGGGCTCGGAGCATTCAAAGGGCTTATGTGGCTTGCCGTCTTGACTTAGTAAGCGCTGCTTGAGTAGCCTAGCAATAGGTTAGCAGTTACCCATGTCCTTTCCTAAATTTTCTAGAATCTCTTCAAAGTTCTCAGATTGTTCCTAGCC